GATTTTGAGGCAAACAACTACTATACTTATTTTATAGTTTCTATAATTATAGTACCGAATACCATTAGATTTCCCAAGCGACTTTTTAAATCGTTGGAAACGAAATTTGTTCTATGAGAAAATAACATTTTCAATATTTGAGGGCCAACCTTTTTTTTTTAATTTTCATGAAGAGTTGATGAATAGCTCTTTTATTCTAAGTCGACACTGGAGTCGAAGTTTATTTGAAAATAACTCGATTCGGTTCCTTAGATTTTAATATTGTGTTTCTTTGACTTTATAACCGCACAATATTTCTGATTTCATTTAGGCAATTCTTCCCTAATCCTTTCTGTTGTATCCGCTCAATGTTATGCTTACGTTTATTCCTTCCGTTTTGTTTTACATTCGCGTGCATTTCAAAATCTAAACAAACTACAAATGCTGACTAAAATAAAACACGTTGATACACCACCAACAAACAAGCAACACTATGTGACATTGCTGTTGGCCCCCGGCATCGTCGTGGCCATCGTCATCATCACCATCATCGTCGTTGTTGAGAACATCGCACTTCTGTCTCTGTGTATTCTGTTAAAGAAAGTCGGCATTCGTGTGTTCATCGTGGTGTGTTTCTCTCTACGTCTGTGTTCGCGGTGTAGTTCTGGGAGATTTGGAACATGTGATTTTTTAAAGCATACTTCGCTGCGTGTGCTTTGTTTTGTTGTATTATTTTTGGCAGTTTTTTGGTTGAATTTGTCTTGTTTTATTTATTTACGCTGTTGTTTGCCTTTATCTGTGTTGGTGTTCTTGTTGTTGTCGTTGTTGCTTTAAATAACTGGCGAAATGTCTGCCAAACAGTCGTTGTTTGTTCTGTTTATTTCTTTGAAAGGCTTTGCCATTGTTGAAGGCCATTCAACAGGTTATATTGTTGCTGTTCTTGATATTATTTATATCCTTTTGAGCATCGCTATTGTCGTATTCCAAACTCCATTCTTCTCCACATCCTTCCCGCTCTTGTGGTGGTGGTGGTAGAAAACAAATGTTTCTCGTATACATGTGTTTTTGTCGTGCAGACATCCACGAATATTTTGGATATTTTGGAATTGTGCAAGAGTGTGTTTTTGTTAGGGTTGCGTTTTGTTTTTCTCATTCGTATAAAAAAAACAATAAATAACAAATAACTCGAAGTGTATGCTTACGAAAAATGTCCGTTTAGATACAGAAGCCTGGCATTGTGAAAGCGATAGAAATTGAAAATTAGAATAACTATCGGGATCAAGTAAAAAAAAATTATTCGGGCAATAGTGCTTGGGTTAACTAATATGAGCGGAATAGTCAACAAATGTCAATAGGTTTGGGTGTCTGGCACATCAGAATCATATCAGTTAATTCGAATTTCTGTTATGAAAGTGTGGACAGCCATTGTCCGCATTGTCACATATTTTTGAATTTGTTTTATTATTATATCGACTGTTGTGAAAAAAGAAATTCGAAAACACATTCATTAAAAATTCTCGTTCTGTAAATTCACAAATATTGCTGTGGTGGTGTTTTAAGCAAGGGATTTCGTTTAAAAATTATAAGATGCCAAAGTCCCCTGACCCAACTTCAGTCTCATTTGATATCGGTGTGTGTGTGTGGTTCGGCCAAAGTTAGAACTTCATTAATTTTCACGTTGCTTCGAAAATGGAAAACGACAACAAAAAAGTTTATCATGAAAATTAAGGCAAGGTATATGGATACGGCCGCATCCTTTTGTTTGTTCACTAGTTCTCCATGAATACCGAACAAGAAAACTCAAAAAAGGACCAAAAACAAAAAGTAAAGTTTTTTTGTTTTACTTCAGCTGTACTCATTCCTGGGTTATCATTACGTTTTAAGTTAGAAACCCAACGGTCTCATTTCGTTTCCTTTTTTATTCATTCGTTCGTTCTTTCATTTGTAGCCATAAACGAGATAGTCCTTGCTAAAGGATTCCAATCTTGTTTTTTGCCTTGCCAACAAAAAACGTCTGAAGGAAAAATAAATGAACTCTTGATAAAAGGGAGCCAACGTACCCATTTCCATTGGAGGAACAGGAACCCAGTCAACATTTTTATGATGTGTAAAATAATATAAAATCAGTCTTTGGCTGAAGTTGGCCAATAAATGCTTGAATATTCATGTGCGAATGTGCGTGAGAAATATAATTGAAGAACTTGCCTAAAAATGTATCATAAATTATAATATTATATTGTTACGAATATAACTTTAGATTTGAGTTAATTTAGATGAATTCCGTTAATTTAAGAATTTGAATTGTAACGTAAATTTCTACTACGCAGTTTATTCGAATAACTTCACAACAACAACTATTGTATAAATTTTTCTACATCCTTCCATTTCCTCTTTCATTTTCTATTTTGTTATTGACGTACAATTCTTGTTAAACGTCATCATTGATGATCGCTTAATTCCTCTTTCTTTGTTACTCCCTCGCCTGTATATGTGTTGTTGTTATTGTTCACTCAATGTAAGTTTGTATGTGTGTGTTGCATTGGTAGATTGTTCGTAATCTAGGTGTTACCAGATCGTCTAGAAACTTCTGTAGCGACAGGCAAGGCTCATATAAATAGGGGAAATGGAAAGGCTGTTAGTCAGTTGTGAATCAGATCGCGAATTGAAACCGTCAAGTAAAGTAAAGTTGTGTCAATAAAATCATTGTAATATTCGTAATCAAAAAAAAAAAAAAAAAAAAGAACCCGCGTTTTATTTAGTACGGGATTAAGTAAAATCCAAGAACGTAACAATATTTTATATTTATTAGAGTTCTCGGTATGATAAAATCGATTTTATATATTTTTTTAATTTGAACCTACAACTGCTTAAGAATGTCTCTTTAAAATTTCAATTGAAAATGCCAAAAGCGTTTGAAAATATAATCGATTTGTAAACGACAGGTGGCAGCGATACCGTTTTTCGTTTAATATACAATAACTCAAAAACAACTGTTCCAATAAATTCCAAATCTAATTTCCCATTTTCCTGCTTGACTTTTGGGCAAAAACCATTTTCTATCCATATTGATTTTAAAAAAGATCTTCCAAGTTCATCGTTCACATTTGTGTGCTGGTATATATGACCAACTGCGGCAATAGCAACGAAAATTTACCCACCCACTAACGGGTATCCATATTTGAACACTAAACACCCAAAAGAAGAGTGCACGGCACACACGCCAGACGGACGAGTCCTTGTTAGACGTCGACTCTTTCATTTTCATATTTTTTTGCATTCTTCTTCATCGCCATCATCATCATCATTTGTAAAATTGTCTATGTTTGGGTTCGACAAAGGCTACGTCGTCGTAGTCGTCCTTCTTGTTTTTGTAGTTATTGCAGATGTTCGCCTTTTCATTTGGATTTTTTTATTTGTTAGACAAGGCCACCCTTTTTGCAATGCTTACCCGAGATAGACAGTCGTCAGTTAGGCAGACAGAAGAACACATTCAAAGGAAACTCTCGCTTATACTGGTCTTGAAATTGCAACTTTTTTCTGCCACAACTATTACAACATAGACATGGAGCATTACTGCCGTTTTGGCGTGATGCGAAGCTGGGTGCAACATTTTCCAAATCTAAATCCCCTCTGCCAGATCTTTGAGTTGTCGAGAATGTGAACCAGTTTTTAAGCCTCGTTAAAATCCATCACCCCAATTCAATGATTGTCCGCTTGCTGGCATTTTCTATTCTCATCGCATCGCAAAATCGAAGTTATTCCAAAGGAAACAAACAAATGCAGCTCACAGAAATACGGCAACAGAAAAAAATACAACTAAGGAAAATTGCAATTTCGTTGAGTACTTACAGTGCTCCTGCCGTTGCTTGTCCAGGCCCATCTTGCCATCTTGTCTTATGCGACATTCCCATTTCCTTCGGAACATTGTTCTGCATCTACTTCAAGTAGAACGACTAATGAATTTCTTCGTCGTAATGTTTGAGTCCAAGTTGGGGAATCAACCCCACACACCCGTCAATTACGTTCGGATGCTGGATGCATGGCGGCAGTGTTGGTGGGGTTACGAAGGAAACAATTAGTGTATCGCATCTTAAAACGTACAGAATTGTTATTTCCATTTTGCTGTGAATTTGGTCCAAAAGCATTTTCCAAAAAGAGGGAGATTTGAATACCCCAGACCTTTCCTTCAACGGCAACGACGTAATGAAAAGTAATGATTTAAATGAAATACCGCCAAACCAATTGAGAACTATTTAATTAGTGTGTTTATATTAGGCCCATAGATCCCCTGTACTGTAATATGGAGATAGAGAAACAACAACAAATGCACGACATGTTATTGGAAAATTCCGAATTCGGAATCTGTTTGATTCGGCATCGAATTTGATAAATCACTTCTCAGAATCCATTTACAAAAATCAAAAAACCCCTCCACAATTCATGCACAAAACAAAAAATAGTATCATCATTAAATTGTTTGTTATTATTTCAAGACAATTTTTAACAATTTATAATTATGATTAATTATTATACAAATAAATGAATAAATACATACTGCTGTCTGAATGGCAGTACGTCAGTTAGTCTGCCGTTTCAAGATCGCAAATTACAATAATGAGATTCATGTCGTTTCTAATCCCAAGAGCAGAAAAAAGCTCATAATCTAGCATTCATTTATAATCCAGCTTTTTGTGATAACCCCGATTTCAAATAAAACCCATCGCTTGGGTTTTCTCGGTAAATGCACACAAACAAGTAAACAATGACACATGCTTATCTGCTAACCGGAGTATCCAAACAAATAGTGAATCAATTCTAAAACCAAACCTATATGAGATACTGCACACGTCTCGGAGATTCAGTTTCCCTCCAACAGCGGAGGCAGTCACATCAATTACTGAGGATAAGTTATCAAAACGTCGACATGAGGATTATTTTAAAGCTCGTTGTGGCCCTACAGGTAAAAGCTACTCATGGACTCTAATTATTGAAGGAAAAATACATAAACCACTATTACGCAGGTTCTTTCGGCTGCATGGGCATTCTATGGGAATCCAGATGCTGAGATTATTGATACCAGCGATGGCTCAGCTCCGTCTTCGTTCGATCAATTTATAATTAATGCAGCAATACGGCGTGGAATGGACGGCGATGCCGTTGCCGAATTACTACGTACACGACAGCCTGTGGTTCGTGTGAAGATTGAACCTCCGGGAATTAAAAAAACAACAACATATAAACTTGACCCAGATGGCAGTATATCTTCCAAAACACTCACTGAAATTTATGGCGGTACGGTTCCCAGCTCACTGAACATACCAACATCAAACAGTGGAACTGTGACCAGGACCTTCACAAGTAGTAATGGACCAAGACCAGGTGGTACACGAGATAATTTTGATCATAGAAGCACAGACAATTGGTTTGGTAGCCCGACATTTGGAAGTCCAGTTTCACCCTGGTCTGCGGAACCGAGCACTACGGGTGCCCGCAAACAATCCAAAGTATACACAAACGCCAATGGAGACAGACGAATTGTGGAAACAACAGTAGACGATGAATTTCCCACAAACTACCACCATACCACAAAAACATTCAGAGGACCGAATGGAGAGACTCGTGTAGTAAAGACATTTTCATCTAACCCATTGGATGTCAGTGGATTACCATCCGCCGAATCCCCATCAAGTACTGGAGACGATGAATTTCCAAGCAATCATCGTCAGGTTACTAAAACTTACAGAGGGCCAAATGGCGAGACCAGAGTTGTAAAAACCTATTCCACCAACCCAATTGAGTTCAGTGGTTTTCCATCAGTAGAATCCCCATCATGGACAATAAATACACATTCTTCCGAGCCGAAACTGACCAGAACTGAGAGCAATTTTCCTTCGAAATCTTGGCCTTCTTTTGATAATCCTTTCTTCCCAAGTTCTTGGTTGCCACACGAGCCCATGGGTGATCCGGATGACTGGACTGTTGTGGAAGATGACGATGATACAACTGTGAGTACAACAACCAGCAAAGAAACAATCGCGACAAGCACGACAGTACAAACCAAAATATTGCCTACCGAACAAAGTTCTACATCGAAGCCAAAACAAACACAGCCAGAAATAAAAGCTACAACACCTTTGCCAAGCTTGGACGAATTTCTAAGGAGTCAATATGGACCACCGATACCAACAACAACAAAAGAAACCGTTGCAACCTCTGAAATTCCCACTACTCCGCCAACAATAACAACAAGCCAAAAACCCCATGCAACAAGTACACAAAAACCAAAATCACCTGCCGCAACTACCACAAAAAAGCCGATAACAATTAATGTAGAAGACTTGCCCGTCGCTGAGGTATTGGACAACGGAAACCCGGCAGATGATGTTCTCATCAATAAATTGCCGCCTCATTTGCAACCGAAGATGAATACGGGCAAAGTTCTGAGAACTGAAAATAAATACCCAACAGAGGTGGAGTATCCCGAAATGAAGACAGCACACCGTGAAGTCGCAAGTCCCAGCTTCAAGATGCCAACCACAATGTACAACACATTTTACGAGCAGAAAAGACCCGTTGTATACTCGCCACCACTTAGCCCGATTTCTGCCTTTCTGGCCCGTTTCGATTTGACGAAAGCAGACATCTTGGCCAGAAGTGGCGAATACACACACACAATCGTCGACGATGATGGCTCCTTGTTGGAAGTAAGATTTATTCTGAGCTCACCCATCCACCGACAAGTAACCAAAGGCATACCCTTCAAGTAGTTACCGCTGAGTGAATACCGCTCTCTAATACACATACACGTTCTCAGTACAATTCCATAATACGCATTTTCTAGTTTTTGTTCGTCAGTTGCATTTCAGGTTTTGAAGTTGTTGTTGTTGTTGTTTAATTCATTTGAAATTCTTATCAGCAATGACTAGTGAACGGACAAATGTTTTGAATATCTCGAATTGTTGCCTTTTTATTTGACCTTTTAGTTGGTGTGATTGCTGTGTGATGCAAATCCAATATATTAGCGGGTGACATTGTCGAGGAAACTCGAAGAGTACCAGACAAAATATGAATGCATTCGAATAGTGAAATACTGTAACACTGTAGAAAATCTTAATCGTACATTATACGAAGCATTTCTAATTAGACGATTGAAAGAAACTTGTTGCCAGTCGTATATATTATAGCAGTATCGTTGACATCAAAAGAAATATCAGTGTTGTGGAAATATATTGTTCAGTTTTCTTAATCGAATTCATCGAAACTAGAACTTAAGATGGACGTTCTTATCATTTTATAAGTCGGCAAATGATTTACAAGCCTTTATTTGTAAACCTTGACACACGTAGAATAAACACTACTATAAACCACTATTTGTTTTTGATGGAATTTATATGACTTCTCCCGATATATTTCATATCGAATACGCATTAGTCCCAAAATGGCAAAACCAAAAATTGATGGATACATTTTTATGATGAGGTTACACAATTTTCACTTTATATTACGTAAATATAAATTAAACGATTAAAAAATCAATATTACTTTAATTTATATGTATACTAATAGTTCCAAAACTGATTTTGGATTAGTTGTATGGAGTAACTTCTCGATTTACCACTTCTTAAAGATATTAAAATAATCTAATTTAGCAACTTATTTTTTAGCTAACTACTGCATATTACACTTACCTGTTACATATATACTCTCCTGTAGGTTCAAGAACAATCGAAATACTTTTTCCGCATAGGTGCAGTTGATTTTTTTCTTAAGCTTTATTCGAAAATCTAGATGAATTCAATAATACAAAAACTAAGAAGCATTAAAAAGCATTAGCGCAGCAATAAGAAGCCAATAACAAAGTGTACATTTTTTAACAAAATTTATTAAAAGCTCAGCTGTTTCGAATAAAATAAAACAAATTAAAAAAGAACAAAAACAAAACAAACAAAAAACATTGCCAAATAATTAAAATAATATTCAAAATATTGCAAAGAAAAAATATATATGTAACTAATCGCCAAAACATTTGCTGGGTAGGTTCTTGTCTTTGCTATTGCCATGAGTGTTTCTTTCATTAGGTCGGTGTTTGGGATTTGTAGCGTATTTTGTTCTTGGATGCATTACGGCTCATTTCGATTGGTTGTTTAGGCCAAATAGGTCATGGAAAAAATAGACTAAATTAGTAAAAAAATGTTTTGGTTTCAATGCATAAAATGTGTGCCACCTAAAATGCAATAAAATATATTGTTCATAAAAGTAGCCTAGATCTACGCGCGAAAAGGCATACGAAAAACATATTCCAATAAAAACAATTAACCAACTAAATAAAACTTAAAATGTAAATCGTTAATTTTGAAAACAAACAGTAATGAAAAACGTAACATATTTTTCTGCAATCTAACGAAACAAATGTTGATAAGAAATATTAATTAAATATTAAAACGTAATATGAGGTATTCTCTTAAAATATTGTTTGTTTTTGTAAATAAAAGTATTTTGTTTAGGGTAATAATCGAAACTACTGACCTAAAGACATTGAAGTAAAAAAACAAATGATAGGTTAAAATTTGTTTCCTGGCTCATATTCCTCATTTTATATCAGTAATTTCGACTATTGGTTTGGAGGAATTCGTATATAAATAATTGAGAACACTATGAATATGAATGAAATAAATATGATTCTACTGAATATTCTATTCAATAAAAATGTAAAAATGATTTTGGACTTAACTTCGCCCTTTTATGGTTTTATTTGGAACTATAAAAATGAATCTCCTGTCCAATAATAAATAGCCTATTTATTTCTGCCTTACAGAGAATATTTAAAATCTTTACTTACCAAATTATCAAAGCGCAATGCTTCTTCATCGCTCAAGCCCATACTTCGGGTCAGCTGCAAATAGGTGGATGTAATCGGCTTGAGTCTTTCAAAATCCAAAGGAGGTAGTCCCGGCATTGAACGTATCTGAGGAATCCGCAGTGTGGGCAGTATTGTCGGCTTCGGTGGACTCAGTGCCTCCTGTTTAATGGATGTAGGTGTCGAGGTAGCCGGCGGTACTTCAAGTGATGACGTAGGACGTTGTGGTATGCAGCTCTCACTTTGAGTATTTTCTCGAGCACTGAAATGAGAAGAATTTTTCGAAAGATTAATTGCACGGATTTGGGTAGACTCTACGAAGTCTTTATCAACGGTTGGTATTTGCAGTTGGCCGGATGATAATTCTATTGTTTTTGTTCTTTCAGAACTCTCATAGGAGCTTTTAAAACGTTTGGCTGTAACAGCCGCATCGTCGTCGGAAGATGACGAGTTGAACTTTTCTGCCAATGACTGCTTCGACAGTGATAGACTCTTCGAGCTGACTGGTGGCATGTCTCTTTTAGGTAGCTCTTTCGCGAACGTGGGTGGTGCTATGAATGAATGAGGCATGGTCAAATTCCCGGAATATAAGCGACGCATAAAGTCATAATAACGCATCATATTCCCACGTGATTTTAGTGAGTGAAAGTCAAAACCATAGCCGGAATGACAAGGTTGGGCAAAAACGGAACTTTCCTGAAGTGGTGGCGTATAGGGTCTTTGTAAATTGGGATTAACGCGGATCTTAGGTTTTTGCGTTTGTGCTGTTACCATAGGTCTAGAAGATGGATCTAAAACTGGACTTGAACTTGCCCTAGTTGGTAAGCGTTGATAGGAATCTACTGGTTCCGAGCTAGAGACAAAAACCTTAGAATTATTATCCGGACTGGAATATCTTCGTTTTTTTGGCTGTATTTTAATTGGGTTCTGTAACAACCCTGTTGCCAATGAAGTTTTTGTTGATGTTTTTGTAGTTGGACCCGCTTCCATGGAACTTTCAGTGTGGGACGAATAGTTAAGTACTTCAACTTCTGATGAGCTTTCATTCTGTATAGCTCCGGTTAGGTCTTCCTTTGCCTGTGAAACCGAGGGTGAAGAAGGTCTCAGATTTTTCTTGCACTCTGGGCATATGGAGAGGAAACGAGTAACAGCTTCTCTAGGCAAAAAAGCATAAGTTTCCGAGATCTGTAAATACAATACCAATTAGTCGAGAGCTTATGCATTTTTGGTCAATAAAGAGCTCACAATTCGATAGGTTCGTTTCTGTCCTGCATGCATACCACTTCTGCCGCCCAATTCCATGTGAATCTGGTAAATTATATCGAAAAATTCCTCGACTACGGCAACTTTCCGGTACGTTCGTTTGTCCAAATCCTTTGCTGTAGAGGCCACATAGAGATCTACGTCTGCTGGATTTTCAGAGAGAACTGCATCTGGTGGTAGCACTTTCTTTTGAGGTTGCGTACAAGGTGCATCCTCGAAACTCTCTGGTCGTTTCGTTGTAAACCCTGTAAGGAATCACAATTCTTAATACAATTGAACACAATTTGTGTCGACGTTCGTTCTTACCTTTGGTCTTTACCCAGAAACGAAATTTCGAACTATCCGGACGACTATGCTCCTTGCCTTCCAAAGCTTTTAAAATGCGAATCTTTTTTCTCATTGTTATTGTTTTAGTTTTAGCCAAGTCACCGTATGTCTTTAATGCCCACGGTTGAAAAAGCTAGAGATAAAAACAATAATCCCAATACAATAATCATTTATACAAGGATTGAGATTTGCAAGACAACAGTTAGGAAAATTAAACACACTTCTTGTGTTCTTACCTCATAAATGTGCATTTTATCATCAAGTATTTTTTCACATGAACCTGAACCTTCCCCACCCTGCTCCATAGTGACCACAGGTGCAACAACATTACGAACTAGCATGTCATCATCAACGTCAGCATCATACGCATTGTCGGCACTTTCGGCATCAATTTTTTCTTGCTCCCGTTCAAGCTCTGTCTCTTGTTGTTCCTCGATGGAATACAGCTTGCGCTCGTGATCGGCCTTAGCACTGTCACAGGCGAAAGGATGAGTTGCTAGCTTGGAGTACGCGTGGAAGCTTTGCATGTCTCGCTGCTTCGTGGATAGCTCGTGTTGCTGTTGGTTTGAGTGATGACCATGACTATTTCCGTTGGAAGTGTTTGTTGCACCTGCGGCACCAGGATTAGTTTCCTGACCTTTTCCATTTGAAGACATTTTCAGAAAGTAATACTTCAAAAATTTTGTAGAATTTTCGGAATTGAATTTTAAATAAAATATTGAATTCTGCTGATGGGATCCATACAAAACTGAAATGAAAAAAGAAAACACAGTTAATAAGGTTTGCGTTTCAGTAAATATTAACACCTATCGAAATATTAATATACACAAATATATATTGTCATATATGATATTTCATTTTATTGAAAGCATATGTTATTGTGATATACAATGCAGAACAGCCAACTTTCATTTATATGTAAAGCATTACTGATTTATATATTTTGGAATTTCGTGGTATGGCATAATCCAACTACAAAAACAGTATCTGGAGTTTAATCTTTTGGTAACAATTTGTTGTGGACTATACATGCCATCATGTCGGTTTAATCGAAAGAGATCATTTGGGAAAAAATAGTTGAATATTGCAAATCAACATTCTGAATATTCTTGGTGTGATCAAATATCTTGGAACTTTCAAACGCCGTAATATTTTATTAATTTATTTTATTTTATTAAGTTTGTGGTTTTAGATTCGATTTGTATCTATGACATGATCTCGATTAGTCTGCAAAATATCCACATGTTCTCATGAGCCCATAATATTAACACGGAACTACACCAATTGTTTCACTCGATGGTCATAAAATTGTTGTTTATTAAATACCATCATAGATGTTTTGAGTTCACAGATACTTAATAATTTATATGGAATTGTTTAATCATTTTTATCTTTATTCAATACTAACACTCAACAAAAACTTGTTAACAAATCTAACAAATTCTGAAAAACAAAAACTTAACAGAAACAAATAACAAAAACAAAAGCAAAGTCTTTCAAGAGTCAATAACTATTTGGGGTTTTCATTGAAATTCAAACGACAAAACGAAAATTTATAACAATCCGAAACCGCGCGCTGTTCCACGAGAGCGAAGTGTAATGAACACACGGACAGTAAAGTGATAACTGATCGTAAGTGACCAGCAGGATGACCATACCAGCAGACAAACAAAAGCCCAACCATCACCTATCAGCTTCAAGGAAATGGATCTTTTCCCCTTCGAGGGAAAGATGATTTTCTTACAATATGTGTGTGTGCGTCAATATATTGGTGCATAGCAGGATCGAAGACAAAGGAAAGGGTTATTTTCAATGTATCCTTGTAAGGAGAACAAGTTTGGTTGTCTTATATACCATCCAGCCGTAAATATTGCTGCTCTTTCTAAGCAAATCACGTGCCTACCTCAAAAGGGTGATTTTTAGATAGCAAACATTGTATGCCCTACTGTCATTGCCCAGTCACATACTTTTGTAGGTTAAGGGATGTCATTTGGTGCGTCTTCAGCTTCCTTAAATGGGTTGGTTTAAGATGTTGTCTTGTCTTCGAGGTTTGTCTCTTTCCTTTGGTGGACTACCGACTCCATTATAATGCCTTTGAAATGCCAAATTTGTTCATATTTTAGTTCGAGCTCGAGGGCCACAATCAGTTGGATATGTTCGGTATGTGTTGGAAACTCATTAATTTTGGGGTGGGTTGCAACATTGTTGTCCAGGTAAACGAAATTGGTGAAAATGATTGGTTGTATCTATCTGAATGTTATATAAGACGAAATAGTTAGAAGTATATGCTTCAGGTCAACCACCACGGTCTACATTATAGAGTCTATGTAAGATTAGGATTTGTATTGTTTGTCCATCGCTTGTCCGATAAGAAAATCAATACTTTTCCAGTTTGTTGTTTTATAAAACAATTATTTTGCAAACAATTCGTCACAACGACTCAACACATTTCCCCTTTAAAAGGTCATCAATTACGCATATTGACAATAGACATCCAAACTTAATTTTTAAATTTCGTTTTTTTGTAACGTCTAAAATTTAAAAAAAAAAATTTATACGTTTCAGTGTCAGTCGATGTTGCCAACAGATATATACCCTCAGCTTATGTTTTTTCGCTTATATGAGTTATATATTTTTATAAAAAGGGGTTTCCGATTTAATATTGATCAAATCGGTTATTCGCTTCAAATTAAATTTGCAAATTTATAAATATTGACTCTTTGGAGGGAGGTACCAGAAGGAGAGGGCCTGCAGGTTTTGATCCAGGCTTGTTAAAGACAATCGGCTGTACAATGTTTGGTTCAAATCGGATAGTCCGTTCGGATAAAATTATAAAATACATATTTTGCACAATTTATACCATTTTGTGGGAAGTCGCCAGAAGGAGTGGACCGATATTCCCTATCTTACAACTTAATCTATGTTTGGTAGAAATATTAATATGTTAATATTAATATGTTATTGTGTGCCCCTACAGACCAGACAGATGTAAATCCATTTCAAATTGTCTGAAACGGATTTGATCCAAGGAAACTTGGGATATAAAACCAATACCCGCATTAGCCATAAGGCTGATGCTGCATACATACTAGAGGAAGTGATGCAAATGTTGTATAGGTTGGTAATGTGGTATAGTCACTTTTTTTGTAAACTGAAAATTTTAGAATAATTGAAACATATTTTATTGTTTGCTACTCTCAAAAAAATAAGATAGCAATGATCTGTTTAATTTATTCAAATCACGTTGAAAATCAGTACCAAAAATAAAATTGTTCATGAAATTGATTTTTTTCGGTTGAAGTTTAAAAATAATTTTTTGTTTTACGGATGTAATTTAATCGTTATTACTAAAGCATACAAATAATCAGTATGTATTAAAAATCAAATGATATGCGGTTTTCAGAACCTTCACAGGTCTGTCTTTGATGCTTAACCCTTTGTGGCCCACAGGCAACAAAATGTTTTAGAACTTTTATTTAATATGCAGGTAGTAGATATATAGTATTTGGATTTCGTATGTCAAGACCTGATGATTATGGACGAGACAAATAAAAACATCAAAATTTTGGTAAAGTTATGAGCTTTTCAATATAGAGAAGATGCCAAAAAATGTGTACAGTACCCATATGTGTATATAGTCAAAATTATTTAAATCGCTTCGTACAAAAATATTTGAAAATATTCGTTATATTTTCTCTTCTTGCCCATGTCCATCTGTTGGAGGTCACTCGTTCTATCATTTAGTAAATGAAGCGTCTTTCATGAGATATCTTCGAAAAAAGAAAATGTTCTCACACTTTAGCATCGTCATTAGTTAGGATACCAATGTATGCCGCCAAGCATCCGAACTAGAAAAACAGGATAGTTTTATAAGTTTTTAGTGAACTTTCACATAGAATTTTCAACACTCAGTGTTGAATGGGTACTCTTTCGACCCAAAAAAGATCCCTTTTCAATCCTGATTTCTCAAATTAAAAAGATTTCTTATAAAAATTACACAAAAATCCAGTTTTGAACAACTGGACACCCCACATCGGCAAACAGCATCACTGATCTACGGCTTGGAGCGCATAAAGGAAACCCACCACCGTTTGCATCTTTTTGTCCGAGAAATCGCTGTTTCTGCGGCCAGTCTCTGTAAAGGGTTTAAATGAACTTTGACATGTCTTGGAATTTGGAAGACGTGTGAAATAAACAACCCCTTTCCGCCAGCGTACCGAACTGGTTTTCAGTGGTCATCTTTGGTCAGTTCTGGTGTAGATGTTTCATGAATCCTTAACTGATGCTGTATATCTAAGCACCCGTAGCTTCATTTTTTGTTCCTTTTATTTTGCAGATAATGTCCAGTTTTGATGTGATTTTTTAACGGACTTTCTTGTAGATTTGCATAATAAACCATTTGGTAATTTTCGGAGTTGCTGCATCTTTGGACATTTTTTGGGCGGGTTGATAAGTTTGTAGTCGATATGAGCTAAGACTTGTTATAATTCAATAATATTCCGGATACAAAATTATGTGACTTTACCATGATTATGCCATTATTACAAATAGACGGCATTATGTTTTTAATCAACAAAGCCGAATTCGATTCGATTCTTGTTCCCAAAAGAATATTTCTTTTAAGTGACATTCAAATGTTGGCAATTTACTGCAGGTCATATCTTATTTGTCGCTTTGTCACTGATTAGGTTTCCCAATTTCCGATCTGTGTATTTAGTCCATATTTGTACATCATACTCAGACATTCATCGATTTTTCTGAACTGTTGATGGTTGATGTTTACTCGGCTGATGTTTTTCTTCTTTCTTTTTCTTCAAATTAGAAAGAATTCCTAATTAAATGTTCAATTGAATAACGTCACAATCGTAACATGGCGAAGTGGGGGATGCTTTTCTGCCATTCATCAAATATTCATTAGGGCAATGGGCAGTCTGACTTTAAGCCCTTAATTCAACACCTAACAAAATCGGAAGACACCTAACACCGTGAAATTAATTTTGGTAAACCGATTCAAAGCAGATAAAGTTTCGCACGATGGTTATTCTAATATAAATATAAAAGCTTAGACAGTTTTAAGTGCAACTTGGAACTTTGTATTGTTTCACATGTTATGAAATGAATCTATCAGTACAGAGTATTGCGTCACATTCAAATAATATTGATATTTTTATTTAAAATACATTCTCCTTTTTTGGTTTGCAAATTCAATGTAAATTGTATTGAGCTGTCATCGTCAAATTCTTGATGTATGTTGTTGTCGTTGTTGTTGTTTTTACAACATACTGCCTATCAATTACTAACCCAATTATATCATTGGCCCAATATTAAAGTTGAGTTCTAGTTGAGTTGCCATAAAAATTCAACAATACCAACAAATGCTCTAACATTAATTTATTTTTAGTAAAAACTCATTTAATTATTGCAGAAGTATGTTTGGCGGCGTCTGGTATGGTGTGAGATTAAATGATGGTCGGCCGGCTGGGTGCGCTGGGGTGAGCAGGGCTGGTAGGATGGTTAATAAGGAGGATGGAACGCTGTCACGTTAATTGCATGCATACATACATTATTAATCAGCTCTAGATTTTTGGTCCCATGCAGCCATCATATGCTGTTCTCTGTGTGGGTTCTTGGAACTGGGGAGGGTGGTGAGAGAGTG